TTTTTTTTTTTTGTAAAAAAGATGAGAAGGAATTTTTAATCAGAAGGAAACTTCAAACATTAGATGTATTTATGTAAATCAATAACTATATACAAATAAATCCTTCAATTTTGGCTTGACGTCTGCTTACTTTAAGGATGACGTAACATAAGGATTTACTTTTGACCGATCATATCTGCTCGATCAAATCGGCCTTTTGATTTTGTTTTACTTTCAATTTTTTGAAAAAAATGACTTTCTTGGAGTTTTTTTTTCACTAAACCTATGTTATGGGATAAAATAATTAAATAAAATAATTAAATAAAATAATTGATAGAAATAGCAAGCATTAATTACCTTTCACTTTTCTGCCTACTCTTTCTAGTAAATAAGATGTCTTTTTATATAAGTATATATTACTTTGCTTAGTGGAAAAGTTATTATTAGAGTTGTGGGGGCCTGATTTAAATGACTCATTGTCTTTGATGTTAGCAGTTGAAATTGAATAAAGACAAATTACGTAGATTTCTCTTCTCTAATTGTACCGCCCCATTTGTTCTTGATGTATTTTGGAATTATTATTTATTTAAATTGTCTGGATTTATTCTATTCGTGCTCGGTTATTATTTTTATTTTGATTATATGCTCGTAATTGTCTAATTGTATTTAAAAATAATTTAATATCGAGCCAGATTGTAAATTTATTTTAATTGTCAATTGAACCGAGCGAACGACCAAGTCGTGTTGTTGGACCGATCCGCACCCGCGTGTGTACCGACCTGCGCCCGGCCCTTGGCCTGCCCGTCTCCCTTTCGAGATGCTCTTGTGGTTTGAATTTGAATGAGTCTTGTAACCCCTATTCCATTTAACATGCTTATGATCTATTATTATGGGGAGGTTACAAAAATTATTGGCCCAATTTAGGTAAATACTTGGCCCGTTTGTAACGATCATTCGAAGCCTCTTTCTTTTCTTTACTGCACGTGCATATGACCAGATATTTATCGTCATCTCTCTTGCATATTGAACCGGTCGTCACCCTATCTGCACATTAAAATTCACATTACGATTTTGGTGGAGATTATCCTCGCACGTTCTCCCCAGCTCTGCACTTATCTCGCCAACTGAGCACACATATAAGTTTCCATCACTCTCGTCTCATGTTTCTACAGAAAAGAGAAATTTGTTCATTCATCATAGAGAAATCAACGCTTTCTCTTTCGCTCTCATTTTTTTTCGTCACCAACTCTGATCACCACCTTCGTTCTAACAGTCGCCGGTAGCACCTCGCGAGCAGAATTGTGAAGACCCTGAACCCTCCGATAAGAAGCAGGCAAGCCCTTGTCCATTGCTCATCATCGTCACCTCCGCGAGTCCTCCACAGTGTGCCCCCATCGACCCTTCCTGCACCATGAGACCATCTCTTCCGGCGAGCTCCC